TTAATTTATGAAACAAGAAATTTGTTTTAAGGGTTGGTAGGGTGCCTTTGGGACAATCCGAGCTGCAATAGCAACTTCTGTTTGATTGATTCTCTTATACTTGTTTTTTTTGAATTTCCATTTGCTTAGTCTGATCCTTGGTTGGCTTGCTCTTTTAGTTTATTAATACTCTAAATAAAGGAGCTTAATCTGTTAAATGCAGTGTTTCCTGTTTATTTATCATTTAGTTTAGTCTGGACTAGATTTGTAAGTCTTTTGTTGACTTTTAACAAAGCTTAGTTGTGTTTACATTTCAGATTTTACTAAAATAATTTCCTCTTGTCTGTAGGTGTAAGAAATACCCATCAATGGAGTTGAGAGGTCTCTTCCAGTATCTAGTGAATCAGTTAAAAAAAGGGCTGGGAATTGAGCTTGTTCTCCTACTGGTATGTTAAGTTCTAAATATTAAATTTAATAAAGTCAACTATAAAGACTATGTTACCTTCAACTGAGTTGTAGAATTTCCAAATTGTCAAGAGGATACTTGGCAGGATTCTAATGCCACCTTCTGAATAGTATACTTTTAAAATAAGACTCCTGATTCATTCTAAATGTATCTCTCTAAAACTTGCTTTGATCTTAATTTATTTCGTTTCATTCTTATTTTTGACAGATTCAATCTTGCTTCTCATAACAAGAAAACATGTTTGGGGATCCATGCAAGCTGGCCTTTTGATCGCAGAACTGCCATGAACTAAACCTCCTTTTCTAGTCCAAAATGATCTGATTTGGTCATTTCTAATTTGATACATTTTGGTCGTTTCCTTATTGCATTCATTTGTTTAACCCATTTCATTTTTCTTGTTACAGTTAAAGTTGCAAGTGGCCAGTTCGTATTCCAGCCATGGTCCCGTTGAAAACATCAACAGTGATAAAGTCAAAGACAATTTGGTAGAATTTTATTTTATTTTTTCACAATGAAACAATATATGTATTTTGAAAATGATTTTGCTTAATTTGTTACTTGTTTGTAACTTGACACTGAATTTGGATACTCTATATTTTGAATATTATGTTTCTTTAATTTGCTACTTGTTTGCTCGTTTCGCTATTGTGGGCATGATATTGAAATACAGAAGTGCAATAAGTGGGAAAAAAATAAAAACAAATAAACGTGCAATTGTAAACAAGAAATTTCAGCTCATTATGCCAGCATTTATAAACGCTGCCATATGGTGCAGTATATACCAACGCCTAGAAACGCCAGACTTGATCCCACCCCTTGTCATGTTGAGGGATATTCCCCAGCGTTTCTCACCACCCTATACCAGCGTTTGGTAAAACACTTCCTTTTCATAAGCTATTCTAGCATTTCCAAAAATGCTGATGAGGACAAATGGCGACGCCTACTTAGACGGCGTCTTGTCGGCGTTTCTGGGAACGCCGGAACCTTTTATAACGGCGTTTAAAAATGCTGCATTTTAGTTGAAAAGACGCTGCCTTTTTCAAGTTTTCTTGTAGTGATTGCTTGGTAACATTTTGGATGGACAGCCCCATTACTTGGAGTTAGGTGTTGCCAATGCCTTAAATGTTGGGATAGCATAACCACAAAAACAGAAGGGAAAATATTGAAATTCGTTGGCATTCTAGTCTTTATTTCTTCATATTTTAATTACTGGTGGAAGGCGGTACACGTTTGACTATTGAGAGATAATGAACACCTGCAAAACAAATCAGCATTAGAGCTTAGTGAGAGATAAGAATTGTTCTCCGGCATTCAATGTAAGATATGAATTTTTAAAGAAATACTAGGGACATGTGGGTGAGAAGAAAGCTAGAGGAAGAAGATTAATTTGAGAGAGGCAGGGAGAGTTTGATGGTGAAATCATTTGTACTTTAACTTACAAACACCTTAACTTTTTAAATTCCATTTAAGCTCAATCCCAAATCCCTCCAGACTTTAGTTTCCATTTCTTCATATTAAACAGATATCTTTTCATACCCATACTACATATTAGTCCGTCATCGACGGACGATTGTCTTGGACACTAGTTGACTTAAAAGTGCAGGTCACGGCATCTTAACTTTTAAAAAATCACAATATATATTGTATTTAGAAAATAATTAAAAAATAATATTTGAGATTATTTTTAATGCAAATTTACATATTAAATATATTTACTCATTTAATAATATGTTAAAATTATATAAAAATGTGGTACAAAAG